ACTGTTGGCCACACCTGAGTTCAAATCTTACCCTGGTTTCTTAAACTCTCTGGACTCCATTATCACGTCTACAAAAAACAAAGAAACTTCTCAGGGTCACAGGGAGATGAAGGGTAACAACCAGAGTGGATTGTAAATGGTTCCCCAGGAGTTTGCCATTATCTTCAGTGGCTGCTGATATTCTTTCACAAGCATTAGACAGGGGCTATTCCAGATTAATTACTCACATTTACCTTGTGAGCTGGGGAAAAGATTAAAAATAACACAAGGCTCTCTCACTTCTGAGTTTACAATGGACTTGTCCCTGGTCTCACCTTCCTTACATTCTCTGGACCTCTTGGGCACTAAGGTAAAGAAGGAAACACTAGGTTTGGCAATGTGGTGCAAACCTGTAATCCCAGAAGTTTGGGAGGCTGAGGCAGGAGGATTACAAGTTCAAAGCCAGCCTCTACAACTTAGTGAGACCCTGTCTCTCCTGTCTCAATATAAAATATAAAAGCAGGGGGAGTGGGGGGGGGAATGGGGTTGTACCTCAGTGGTAGAGCACTTGCCTAGCATGTGTGAGGCCCTAGGTTCAATCCCCAGCACCATGTAAAACTAAACAAAATAAAGGTATTGTGTCCATCTACAACCTATATATATATATATATATATATATATATATATATATATATATATATATTTTTTTTTTTTTAAAGGGGGAGAGGTAGGGAAGGAATTCTAGGACAAAGCCATTCTTTCAACAACAAATATTTATTGAGCACCTACTACATGCTGGTCACTGTACTAAGTAGCACCCGGACCTCAGTTTTCAATCCAAAAGGGCTGGAATTCTTTCTTAACACAAAGCATCTTAGGTGAGACAATTCTTTGTGTGGGCCTATTCCCTGCATTGCGGAGCACTTAATCCTCTAAAGGACGGGACTCTATGGTCATTGGAACAACACCAAAATGCTCTCGCACGCTTCGAAATGGCCCCCTAGGGGGCAGTATCGCCCTGGATTTAGAAACCCCGTCCCGCTTCCTCCAGGAGACTGGGAAAGGGGGAGGCCCCTTCTCCACTGTCACCGGCAAATTCAGGATGAGGTCGAGCGAGGCCCAAGGTGAGCAGGATGTGGCCCCTGTATCCGGGGAACTGGGCAACCCACTACTTCCCGGATGAGCTCGTCATCAGCCTTCGGGTACTTGGTTCAGGACCTCTTCGCAAGTACTCCCCACCGTACCAAGATACAACTCCATAACTTCAGCTTCCCGTTCCCGGCCGAGTCCTGGGATCTTGGGGAGAAAGGAATGGGGGTTTTACCTTGGTCCTCAAGAATCAGTCTTCGGGAGGCGCAGGGTTAATGCAGGGAGGCGCGTAGACACCTGAGCGCCACTAGAGGGACCACTGACACAGCTCAGCCGGGCAACTTTACGGTCACGTGGTGGTGAGGGCGGGTCCAAACAAGGGGCCAGGCCAATAGGCTGTGCTGTCGGTGGGTGTGATGGCCAATAGGAACAGGGAGCGGGGTCCCGGACTGTAAGAAACGACGACTGGGAGGGGGCTACGGGACCATGGGGCTTCTGACCATACTGAAGAAGATGAAGCAGAAAGAGCGGGAGCTGCGACTGCTTATGCTGTATCCTCCAGGACGCCGGAGCGCCGAGGGTAGTAGGGGCCCCCGCCGCGTGGGCGGTGCCAGGCGCCCCCTGCCGGGCGCGGGTGAGCGGCCGGCCGGCGCGAACAACTGCCCATTGTGCGTCACGCACGTGGGCCCTACCAATCGCTGGCGGCGGGGGCCGGGAGAAGGCCGTACCACCGGCTCGGGCCGGGCAGGGGGGACTCCGTTCCCAACGCCGAAGGTGTGGGCCTAACGGCGCAGCGCGCGACCGTGTGTCCCTATTGCAAGGAGGAGGTGGGGCTCGGAGGTGACTCGAACGTCACCGTCCGTCTCCGTCTGGCCTGAGCGTGGGCCCCTGTCCTCTCTGAGGCCCTGACCTCCTCCCCGATGTCCAAGGGTGCCGGGTCCTGGCCCCGCCCCCGAGGTCGGAATCCCGGGGGCGTGTGGGGCCAGCTCTGGGCTCTGCGCCCCGCGGGTGTGGACTCGGTCCACCGTGACTCTAACCGTCACCTCTGCTGCCCCGCCGCGCGTCGGTGTCCCCGCGGCCTGCGGCTTGTAGATCCGAGGGCCCAGCCGGCCTCCCGAGCCCGGTTAGCAGGCGCCTGCACTCCTGGCCCTGCCCCGTACGGCCGTGGGGAACCGGCGATCGCAGAGCTAGGCCGGCTTCACCCCCGGCCCGGAGAGAACATTGACGTGCGCACGTAACTTAATAAGATCCGCATCGCATTTCATTTAAAGAGCTCTGAGAAGGGCGCGGAGAAGTCACGCATTCAATAAGTATTTATTGAGCGCCTACTACGTGCTAGGCACTGGCCTAGGGGCTGGGGTGAAACAACCGAACCAAATCCTGCCCTCATGAAAATTCTGTAACGGGGGAAGAGAAAGAGGAGATCGCAAAGAAGTGAAATATGTAGTATGAATGGAGAAGAAAGTAGTTTAGGGAGGCCAAAGAAGGCCACCGTCTGGCCTGAGCGTACCTGACCTCCTGACCCAGTGACCGCTGGATAAAGACATGAAGGAGATGAGGAATATGGGGGCAGGGGGAGCCGTTTAAAGCAGAGGAAAGGCCAGTGGAAAGCCCTGAAGGAGGCACAATTGGTGTGTTCGGCAGATGCCAGGGAGGGTGGTGTGGCTGGGGAGGGTGAGGACAGGGAGCATCGCTAGGATGTTCTTAGCTCTCGCTTTAAGTGAGTACCAGGTGCCAGGCCATGAGCCGAGCCCAGTTAGGCAGCTGTCCTCATGCAGTTGATATAGAATGGTGGCTTGGACTAGGATGGAAGTAGTGAGGTCACGGAAATAGGGGGACGCCGTGATAGCAGGGCCAGCGGGAATTGCTGCTAGGTGGGACGTGAGAGAGGAAGTGAAGTGAAGCCTGCCCCCTGGGTTTCTGGACTGAGCCATGAGAAGACAGGAGCCACTTACCGAAATGGGGAGGAGCAGGTTCCCCGGGAAGTGATAGCTCTGAGCTCTGTGGGCCACATGTGTCTCTGAGATGCCTTGGAGTACCAGGTAGGCTGCAGGATACAGGGCTTACTAGAGGGGCCTGGGTGGGCGGCATCAGCACAGGGATGGTGTTTGAAGCTATGATCCTGGAGGGACTCACCTAGGGAGCACTGTGTGCACAGAGAAGTGAGTTGTGGAAATACAGATAAGTCAGGCAGGGCGCAGAGGAAGGAGGGTGAGCCACTGTTGTCAGGTGCTGCAGGTGAGGGCCACCGTCCACTCGGGAGCAGTGGGGAGATCTGGCGGACCCACTTGGCAAGAACAGGTTTGGGAAGCAGTGGGAGCCACAGCCTGCTGGGCCATGTGTTTAACAAAGAGCAGGGAAACAGAGGCTCTGGTGAGCGTGAACAACTGGCGAGGAGGTGTGCTGTGAAAGGGAAGGTAGGAGTCCCTGGGGCAGAGGACGGAGAGGGTTTTGTTTGCAGCACCTGAGGGGGAGAAACAATAGCATATTTGCCAGCTGCCAGGGATGATGTGGGGGAGAAGGAAAGATGGAGGACAGCATTAGGGAGATGGGGAGAATCTGGAGCCAGTTTTCAGGGGCTAAGGTCTCCGTGAGGTACTCTCCTCGCCTCCATTTTACAGGTTGAAGTCATTGGTCCCAGGTCCAGTGAGCAGCAAGAGGCACTAAGCCCAGGACCTCCCCCAGCCCCATCCCGGCTGCAAGGGCCTTAAGTGTTGGAAGGAGAGCAAGGTGTCTCTCCCGCTGGTGAGCTTATCCATTCTTCTGCTTTCTGCACCGGAGGTTGTGGAACATTCCAGAAACAGAGATGGAGGTTTCTGCCTCTGTGTATTTGCTCTTCCTTCAGCCCTTCAAAAAAACTAACTCCCTGTATTTCAGGCCTCCGTTCAATGTGCCTCTGGGAGCCTTCCCCGCACGGAGCTGAAAGCCCTCCCTACAGGGGCCCCGCGAGGTGTCTCCCTGGGGCTTGCCACACTCACCAGGATCTTATTTTCTCAGTTGCACTTTATCACAGTCTCCTCACTAAGAATGCAAGCTTCATAAGGGCAGGGACTTTGTCCCTCAGCACCTAGAGAGGGCCTGGCACATAGTAGGTGTTCAATCAATATTTTTTATATGAATTAAAGAGCTTTTGATTAGCAGAGATGATACAATTATATCTTTTTGTTGTTGTTGTTGGTACTGAGAAATGAACCCAGGGTGCTTAACCACCGAGCCACATCCCCAGACCTTTAATTTTTTTATTTTAAGACGGCCTCACTAAGTTGCCTAGGGCCTTGCTAAGTTGTAGGGGCTGACCGTGAAACTGTGATCCTCCGGCCTGGGCCTTTGGAGTCACTATATCTTGATAGTCCTATGCTTTCTCCAGGCCAGTTACGGGCCAGCACGGGCTCAATTCTCTTTGACATGATGGGAAATTGTCAGTCCCTAAGAATGACATCACCACTGGCATAGCACAGGGACTTCTCCTTAACCTGTGTGCCCCAGCGGCCTGGACAATGCCGGCAAGACAACTATCCTCAAGAAGTTCAACGGGGAAGATGTGGACACCATCTCCCCGACTCTGGGCTTCAACATCAAAACACTGGAGCACCGGGGGTGAGCGGGGCCTGGGGCCTGCCCCTAGGGGGGTGCGGGTGGGGAGGACCAGCTGACCACCAGCCGCTCTCTGCCCAGATTCAAGCTGAACGTCTGGGATGTCGGTGGCCAGAAGTCCCTACGCTCCTACTGGCGCAACTACTTTGAGAGCACTGACGGCCTCATCTGGGTGGTGGACAGCGCGGACCGCCAGCGCATGCAGGACTGTCAGCGCGAGCTCCAGAGCCTGCTGGTGGAGGAGGTGGGCCAGGCCGGGCGGGGGCAGCATGATCCCTGGGGGACACCTGGGGACCCGTAGTGCCAAGGGCAGAAAAAGCATGCTGTGGACAGAGACCTGGGTTTACATGAATTTGGTTTTACTGTGTCACCACCCTGAGCCTCAGGTTCCGTACTTGAAATGGGAACGACAAAACTCATACCAGAGGGCTTTAGGGAGCATCCTCAAGGTCAGCGTGCGAAGCTCTGGGAGGCAAGGAAGCCTGGCTCAGGAGTCTGCCACTGCGTGTGACCTCAGGAAGGCACTCAACCTCTCTGAGCTTCCACTTCCACATTCCTAAAATGGGGATCACAGTTAGGCTGATCTCATAATTTATTGTGTGGCCCCAACACCTTTTTTTAAGTAAGATTTTAGATTTACAGAAGAGTTGCAAAGATAGTACAAAGATACTCCCCCCTCCCTCACCCCACTTCCCTAATGTCAGCCCTGGTATACCTCTTAAACCAGGAAGCTAGTATTGGTGAGTTACTGTTATATAACTACAGGTCTTATTTGGAATTCACTATCTGTGTGTGTGTGTGTGTGTGTGTGTGTGTTTCACTGTTGTTTCCATTCGTGGGCTTTGTCTGTTCTGGGGTTTGATGCAGGTCACCTTGCTGCATTTAGTAGAAACCAGGCCTCTTGAGAGCGGTAGTGAAGTTGTGAATAACTCCAGGAACCACAGTGACATGTGGTCCCCTCCTGGGGGTGTCAGCGGATCCAATGAAGTCCTGGCTGTCAAATGCTGAGCCCAGGCCTGGCAGGTTGAGGCCAAGCAGGTCATGTCCACCCGCCCACATGGAAGGACTCCCAGTTGTAAATGCATAGAAATGACAGAATCAGAGGCAGACAGCGAAGCCTTTTGGGAATGGAACAATCAAAAGGGCTACAGCCAGGTGCAGTGGTGCACGCCTGTAATCCCAGAGGCTCTGGAGGCTGAGGCAGGAGGATCACGAGTTCAAAGCCAGCGTCAGCAATGGCGAGGGGCTGAGCAGCTCAGTGAGAACCTGTCTCTGAATAAAATAAAAAATAGGGCTGGGGGTGTGGCTCAGTAGTCGAGTGCCCCTGAGTTCAATCCCTGGTACCAAAAAAACGGGGCTATGAACACTTGGAAGAGGGAAGGTGGCCACTTGCAGCAGCAGACCCCCAGGAGGCTGGGATGCCTGTGTGGCGTGGGCTCGCCAGGCCACAGTCCTGAGCGGCAGGACTACAAGGGCTCAGGAGTCATCTTGAGTATGCCCTCCCTGCTTATAAAAGAGGAACCTGAGGCATAAAGGAGAGGCGCCCACTGGGGGTGGTTGGCTGGAACCAGGACCCAGGCGCAGCCCTGGGCTCTGCTCCACGTGGCTGCAGCCTCAGTGGCCCTGCCACTCTGCCCCCCTCACCTGGGCCTCTCCCGGAACCCACAGGCCTTGTCTAATCTTCAGGGTTGGTCTCTGACCCCAGTACCCTCCTCCTCCCTGCAGCGCCTGGCCGGAGCGACCCTTCTCATCTTTGCCAACAAGCAGGACCTGCCTGGAGCGCTGTCCTCGAACGCCATTCGCGAGGTGAGTCCAGTCCCTGGGGCAGCCTCCTGAAGAAAAGGGGCATGTTTCTATATTAATTTGTTTAAAAAGCACTTTTGACCCCTGCTGTGTGGCGGGACGTCTGTGGGCACCAGAGTCTCGGTGTCAGCAGGTTCGATGGCACAGTAGCCAGCGCACTGCAAGTGCGCCCCTTGTGATGCTCTTTGCGTGGATTCACTAGGTAGGAACTACTGTCGCCATTTTAAAAGATGGTTAAGCAGACTTAGACAGGTTAGATAATTTACCCAATGACACACAGCTAGAAAGTGGACAAGCCAGGATTTAAAAGCAGGCCTATCTAACCCTGGTAACTAAATCTTAACCATTAAACTAGTGCTCAAGCACCATAATGAGAAAGAGCTAGGTTAGAATGTTGGTTCTGCCATTTACTAGCTGTGTGACCTTAGGCAGGTTCCATAACCTCTCTGAGCTTTGGTTTCCTCCTTGGTAAAATGACCAACATAATCCCAGACTCATGAGGCCTTGGGAGGAGCAGATGAGATGTCATATGTAGGGTTTCTGACACAGGACCTGGTCCTAGGAGATGCACAGGGGCCCATGTTGCTCTTTTCACCATTGAGTGTCAGCAGTGTGGCCCTACAGAAAGCCTAGGTGCCCAAGGGGGTGGCAAACCCTCGTAGGAGGCTGCACAGACGGGGTGACCCCTGGACAAGGCCTTGAGGGAGACGCAGAGTTCCCTCGGGGCCAGGAGAGGGCAGGCCGGGGACCGGGGACTGGCCCCCGCCCACCAGCAGCTCCTGCCCGCAGGCCCTGGAGCTGGACGCCATCCGCAGCCACCACTGGTCCATCCAGGGCTGCAGTGCCGTCACTGGGGAGAACCTGCTGCCCGGCATCGACTGGCTCCTGGATGACATCTCCAGTCGCATCTTCACAGCCGACTGAACCACCTGGATGTCCCCACTCGCGGTCCAGGCCCCAGCCCCCCAGCTGCCACCGTGCGGAGCGGAGTCAGCCCGCCGGACTAACACGCCGCCCTCCCGGAACCTGCTGCTGCTACTGCCCGCTGCTGCTCTCCCACGGCAGGAGGCTGCACCCTCCAGGCTCCCTGGCTCCCCACCCAGCCTCCAGCTGCCACACCAAGAAGAGGGGCCTGGGCCGGCAGGGGCAGCCTCTGCTGCTCTGGAGGCCCTGGGCCTCATCTTGGGCTCAGCTGTGAGAATAAAGCACTCCTGTCCAGCTGCTGGCTGAGCCCCTGTGATTCACCCGCCTTGAAGACCACCTGGGGTCCTAGGGTCCGGCAGGGCGCATACAGGAGCAGAGGGTCATCTGTGCCAGAGGGACGCACAGAGTTGCCAAAGCTCAGGTCGGGGCTGCACCTGATGCCATCTGGAAGAGTCCAGGCAGGCTTCTCAAAGGAGGCAGCCTTAGAGTTGGGAATGGAGGAGGAGGAAGGGTCTGGGTAGAGAATGGGTGGCAGTTTACCAGGGCAACTACACCGCTCCTAGGTGGGAATCAGAAAAAGGCGCAGCCGCAGGCCTGGGCTCATGGCGCACAGGTTGTTGAATGGAACATGGGCTAAAAATGGCCTCCCTACTTGCTGTTGTGACCAGAACCCCTTGTGCAGTGCACACCCTGCACAGCTGTACATGGCAGTGCTGCTCAGGCAGAATCGCAAAGCAGAGGCAGGAAAGAGCAAGGGCTCTTGAGAATTGGGAGGGCATGGACTTGGGCACAAGTAGGCATGCAGGGAGAAAGAGGGAGGGGTCTGCATCGGGCAGGGATGGTTAAGGCCTTCCCTGAGGCATGTGAAGCCAGGCCCCCTGGACCTCAATCCAGGGAGCAAGGCTGACAGGTGTCTTCATGGCTGCTGTTCTAAGCACTACTCAGGGATCAAGGCAGCTAAAGACAGGCCTAGGGCATAGACCATCAGTGTCCCCTGACACTAGAAGCTGAGCCCCCAGGAGATTAATAAGTGGCCACCTCAAGCCCCCCCCAGCAAGTGGCACACTGACCCTGCACCCTGGCCACCATGCCCTGCTGCCTACTACACAGCGTGGGCCTAACCATCTTCAGCTTCTCTTTTTTCAAAATTCAAATACCAAGGGCGGTAACTGAGCTCTTGCTCATCTCTTAATGAGGACCTGCTGCCCACCAAGCCCACGGGACTGTGTCCAAGGGAGGAAGGACATCTTTATGACAGTTGGATGCTATTCGTAAAGATGAGGAAGAGACCCTGGGATTTCCATCTGAACTAGCACTAGGGTCCCTTCCCCAAGGGGTAGAGGTTCCTTTAGGGTGGGCAGAGGGAAGCAGATGTTGGGTGGCCAATCTTACGACATGCTCAAAATTAGGAACCCCTGCCCTGTCCTCCTTGAGGGACAGATGCTGAGGTCAGCAGCCTCCAAACCCTGTGGCCAGCAAACACTTGAGTCCCCGCAGCCAAATCCCAGCCCTGCCATGTGCTCGTGAGGCTGAGCAAGTTGCTTAATATCTGTGCCTCAGTTTCCCCATTTGGGGAAATACAATGGCACCTACCTCCCAGGGTTGGGATGAGGACCGAACTGGTTGGCGCCTTGTATGTCATAAGCACCAAGTGTCAGCTACCATTAGAATGAACAGTGTGGTCCAAGCCGTGTGCACTGTTACCCCATGCTTGTGGACATGCTGGTGGTCCCCTTAGCAAGCCACACCCCGATGGAGAAGGTGAATTACGCACAGCTGGGGGCCAGCAAGAGCGCAGCATGGTTGCTCATCACAGAGGTCTGGGTGGAGAGCCTGCCCTGCTGAGGCAGGAAGGATCCCAGCAGGGTCCAGCAGACCCCCGGACACAGGCAGCTTGGTGGCTTCCCCTCTCCCCGCTGTCTTCTGCTTAGGGAAAGGGCAGAGGGAGGGAGGGAGAGGGCTGAGGAGGCCAGGAGCCACAAGCTGCCCAGCAAGCTTCAGAGAGCAGCAGCCAGGTGTGCAGTGCCAGGGGACAGTGCCACACCCTCAACTGCTTAATGCTGCGTGGGTGACCTACCCGCGTTCAGGGCCCCAGAGTGCAATTCTATTGTCTATTTCCACCTGGAGCCTGCAGTACAAGGTTCGTACCTCCGAGTTCCAGGAAGAAAAGTCCCTGTCCTGCCAGTGCTTCACCACACTGTGGACTCAAAACTTTATGGTGCAGTTCAAGATTTTGTCTTCAGTGTAACACTGACTGGAGCAAAGGTGACCACGGTGCCAGGTTTGAAAACCCCGTTCTCCACTTGGCCCCAGGACAACAGTACCAATGTGTATCACCAGCCTGGAGAGTTCCAGAAAGGCTGACCCTAGAGCATATCAGAGCCTGGGGACTGCGGCTCCTCTGCCACCTTTACCGTGACTTCTTCCCTTGAACCAAGCCATGGTAGCCCCTGCTTCCTATGTTGTCACCTTTCCAGCTGGACGCTCACACGAATGCAACACTGTTGGGTTATAGGGAATTTTCCTAATGTAGGCACTGCCTTCTATAAGAGTCCCTCCTGTCTCCTCTATAGGGTGGCTCAGCGGAAAAAACACAGCTAGCTGTTTCATACCTAATGCATGAGAGACCAACTTAAATTCCCACTACCTGCAGCAATAGCTTGAGATGTGCTTGCAATGGGGTTTTTAAATATATACGTATATTTAGGAGGAATGCTGGGATTGAACCCGAGGCCTCCTGAGTGCTAACCATAAGCTCTATCACTGAGCTACACCCAGTGTGCCACCCCCGCCCATGAAGTTTTTGATAAAGTCTCTGCATCCTGAAGCTTCCATGATAGTCATGAAAAATTTGTTGGTCTCAAATTTTCACAGGGATATATCAATGATGATACTCGGCTCACATTCAGGTTTCGGTTTATCCAGGATCCAGGTACACTCGAAGGAGGCTTTTTCCATCTCACTCACCTCCTTCTCGAAGTTTTCCATGATTCTTTATCCCCCAAATTTGTAGATGGGATTGCTGGTAGTGGTGGAGCTGCCCAAATGTACACGTTCACTGAGGACAATTGTCTTTCCTCCTTTGATGTCTTGATGGCTTCCACCATACCTGTTTCTGGCTGCAAACCTGTAACGAAAACAAAAACAAAAATCCTTCCCTGCAGCCATTGCAGAAGATTCTCTTCTAACCCCTTTTCCCCCTTCTAGAGATGAGAAACTGGGTCTCAAGCAGTTAAAGGAAATTCAAACCATAAGAGTAGTGACTTAGAGTCCCCAAACAGCACCCTGCCTCTCTGGCATTGTTTTCACTGCCCCCACACTTACAGGAAACATGCATCCGCCAGTCCTGCAGAGGGAGAGAGGAATTTGGCGGTCTGGCACATTCTGAACACAATGAAAATTGGGTGGATGAGCTGGGCGCAGCAGTGCTCTAGTCCCACCTCCTCTGAGGCTGAGGTGGGAGTTCAAGACCAGCTTGGGCAACAGAGGGAGATCCCCAGCTCAAAACATTAAAGTAAAATACAAATAGGGGCTGGGGTTGTGGCTCAGTGGTAGAGCGCTTGCCTAGCATGTGTGAGGCACTGGGTTTGATTCACAGCACCGCATATAAATAAATAAAAATAAAGGTCCATTGGCAACTAAAAACATTTTTAAAATATTTTTTTTATATAAATACAAATAGCTGGGCGCGTTGGTGCACGCCTGTAATCCCAGCGGCTCAGGAGACTGAGGCAGGAGGATCTCGAGTTCAAAGTCAGCCTCAGCAATGATGAGACACTAAGCAACTCAGTGAGGCCCTGTCCCTAAATAAAAATGCTAAATAGGGCTGAGGATGTGGCTCAGTGGTCGAGTGCCCCTGGAGTTCAATCCTCGGTACCTAATAAAAATAATAATAATAAATAAAAGTTGGGTGGCTGGATGAAAGAAGGGAACAGGGGAGACGTAGTTTGGAGGTCGGAAAGGTGCCCCGATAGGATGCATTCAGTTCCCCGCAAAAATAAAACCAGCAGCTGGAACCTGTCCAACCAATCCTTTCTCTCAAAATTTACAACATTTGCGCTTCAACAACAACAGGGATCTTTTCAGACGCTCCCTTGGCCGCGTGCTACGTCCGAGAACAGCGTCGTCACTTGCGACCAGCTCCCTGGGCCGGAAGGAGCAGGGCGCAGGCCCGGGATAGGCGGCAGAGCGCAAGGGGCGGGGGTGGCGTGGAGGGGGTGCCTGCCGGCGGTCAACCCCGCTGTAGCGGGGTTGTCATGTCTCGCCAGACGAAGGATGACTTTCTACGGCATTATACGGTCTCCGACCCCAGGACCCATGCCAAGGGCTACACCGAGTACAAAGTAACCGCGCAGGTGAGGTGGGGCCCAGCGGGGACCTTACCCTTTTAAGTAGCCAGGGGGTTGTGCTTTACCTTAAGGGAAGGCGCTGTAGGAAGCTCCTTTTTTAGACGACAGAAATGGGTTTCCCCTTTAAGGAAAGCCTGTGGTGGGCGCTGACGTTGACTTCTTTCACCATCGGGGGCGGGGCCGTGGAAGGGCGTGGTCCTCTTTAAAAGGGCGTGGACACAGTTCCCGGACTTGTGAGGTGCGTGTGCCCACGCCCGACGCTTGCAGCCTGTGCCTCCGTCTGTGAGATTCTCAGACGTGAAAACTCTGGCTTAACCCAAACGTTAGTTAGTTTCCCAATTTGGGGGTAAGTTTCATTTATTGGTTTGTTGGATACCTAAAAACCCTTTAAAGAGTTTATTTCTTAAAAAAATTAATACAGGTCTATGGTTTAAAAAATTCACAATTCAAAAGGACTTGAATCTTCACGGTCATCGCAGGAAGAGGATAGGTAAAGGCCATAGTGGATGTTGGAAGCAATATTATAAGCACATTTTATAGAGACATGGAGAAAACCATGAAAAGAATTTAAGATAAAACGGCATAAGAGACTGCCTGTAGAATGATTTGTAAGAACCGGTAATAATGGAGACCCCATGAAAAGAATTTAAGATAAAACGGCATAAGAGACTGCCTGTAGAATGATTTGTAAGAACCGGTAATAATGGAGACCTCCAGGGAAAGTCTCTGGGGAAGGGGGTTGAGGAAGGACTTTTTTAGTGGGTTTTTTGTTTGTTTGCTAGGGATTGAACCCAGGGGCAACACTCTAACACTGAGCTACATCTCCAGCCCTTTTTATTTTGAGAAAGGGCCTCACTAAATTGCTGAGGCTGGCCTTGAACTTGTGATCCACCTGCCTCAGCCTCCTGAGTCACAGACGTGTGTCACAGCATCCAGTTTAGCGTTCGTATTTTATACTCTTAGAATTTTGGCAACAGGCAACTACTAAATGCAGAATCCTAGATGTTTTTAAAATATGCTTTCCCCAAATCTTTTATGTCATTCCCATGCCAAAAAACTACAAATAAAGAGATTGCCCCTGGTAGATGGGCAGGAGGGGTAGGGGGGTAGAAAGGATGTGGCCTTCTTCTGCAACCTTTGCCTACATGCCTCCTACTGACTTTTTAAACCAAGTAACATTTATTATTTGAGATAGTTGGGATGGGTCTATAGTTTTTTGTGGATTGGGGTGTTTTTGTTTTGTGCTTTCCAGTAATGCAGATTGACCCCAGGACATTGTGTGTGCTAGACAAGCCCTCTGTCATCAAGCTACATCTCCAACCCTACTTTGATATATTTTTATAAATATATCAAAAAAATCTTTTATAAAGATAAATTTTGCCTACTTGCTATCCCCATGTCTCTGTTGCTACCAGTTTGTTGATCCTTGAAAATAACTACATTTACAAGCAAATTAACGTGTCTACTTTAGTAGTATTATTTACACACAATGGAGTTGCGCTTCTGACTCTTTTTGCTTACTGGTGTTTCTAAGTGAGTTTTTGTGTTTTATTTTACTTTAAAATTTTTTAAGATTGCAAATAAAAGCATTCTGACTCATTTTTATTATCAAAAAAAATATTAAATTGAGACACAGTTTACATAAATGAGCTCAGTCTTCAATGTACAGCCTAATCAAATTTCACTAAAAGTATAATGTGTGCAAACACCACTCAGATGGAGAGAGACATTTTCATGACTCCAGAAAATTTCTTTTCATCTCTCCAATCACTGGTCACCCTCTCGAAGAGATCACTATACTCATCTGATTTCTGTCACCATTGATGAATTTGGTTTGTTCTTGAATCTCATATGAATGAAGCAATGAAACAAATATTCTTTTGTGTTTGACTTTTTTAACTCAACATAATATTTTTGGAATTCGTCCAGGGCTTTGCACATGCTGATCAAGTGTTCTACCAAGTTAAATCCCTGCCTTTTTTATTTTTTTGGTACCAGGGGATGAACCCGGGGCGCTTGAGCACTGAACCACATCCTCAGTCCTTTTTATTGTTTATTTTGAGACATAGCTGGCCTTGAGCTTATGATTCTTCTCCCTCAGCCTCCTCAGTCACGGGAATTATAAGCATGCACCACGACACACGGCCCCAGCCCTTTTTATATTTTGAGACAGTGTCTCCCTAAATTGCTGAGGCTAGCCTCAAACTTTCAATCCTCCTGCCTCAGCCTCTTGAGTCAAAAGGATTACAGGTGTGCATCACTACACCTGGCTCACCATTTCTTTATTACTTATGTTGAATATTTTGTTTTTTTCTTAAACGTTTTTTTAGTTGTTAAAGTGTATGAACTCTCATGTACAAAATTTTTTTCTGGACATATCTGCTCATTTCTCTTTGGGATACACATAGGAATGGTACTGCTGGCGTGTAAGATAGGTATACGTCTAGCTTTACTAGAAATTGCCAGAAAGTTTTCCAAAGTAGTTGCCCATGTCATGCTTCCCTTATCACCTGCACTGGAAATCAACAGGATCTTTAATTTTAGTTATTCTTGGTATGTATTTGGAGTATTAATTTGCATTTCTCTAATGAGTTGATATTGAGCACATTCTCATAATAATCTTACAGGTCTTTTTTGTGGGAGGTGCCTGTTCAAGTATTTTGCTCACTTTTTTCAAGCTAATTTTGCCATATTTATTCATACCAAATCACACTGTGTTGACAGGTAATGATTGAATACAGATACAGGCTGTCAGGAAAAGGGGAGGAGAAAGGGAGCCCTTAAAATAGGGGGTGGGGTTGCGGCTCAGTGGTGGGGCGCTTGGCTGTGTGTGCAAGCTGTGAGCATTTTGAGCGCTTGAGCTGACTGGACTGTGTGTACGTGTGTGTCCTTTTCACTAGCTCTGCCTTTTGATCCCACTCAGCACCTGAGATGGGCGTGGACTTCCAAGATGTAAGTTAATCTGCTGACCATAAGACATCTGGAAGCTAGACTCCACCCCCTGAAACCTAACCCCCCACACCATTGGGGTGGAAAAAGGGGCTTTAGAAGTCCTCCTTCTCTTTCTCTCTCTCTCTTTTTTTTTTTGTGTGTGTGTGTGTGTGGTGCTGGGGATTGAACCCATGGCCTTGTACATGCGAGGCAAGTACTCTACCAACTGAGCTATATCCCCAGCCCCCTCTCTTTCTTTATTTCTGCCTCCCTAGTGGGAGCTGGAGCTGGGGAGCCATCGCTGAAGAATCACGAGAAAGAGGTATTTTCCCTCTAGGTGTGGTTACTTCGTGCCAGCCCACATTCACCTGGAGTGAACCTGAACGACTGACTTAGTTGTGTGTTGTGGCAACTGGGTTTCATTCTCAGCCCTGCATATAAATAAATAAAATAAAGGTTCATCAACAGCTAAAAAAAAATTTTTTTAATAGGATAAAATGGCTGGGTATGGTGGCACATGTCTGTAATTTCAGCAGCTCCGGAGGCTGAGGCAGGAGGATCACAAATTCTAAGCCAGCCTCAGCAACTTGGCCAGGGACTGAGCAACTTATCAAAACCCTCTCTCTAAATAAAATGTATAAAATAAAAAGGATGGGATATGACTCAGTGGTTAAGTGTTCAATCCCTGATACCCCCCCCCACAAAAAAAAAGGATTAGGGCTCAGTGGTAGAACACTTGCCTAGCACATGTGAGGCACTGGGTTCGATTCTCAGCACCACATATAAGCAAATAAGTGAAATAAAGGTCCATCAACAACTAAAAAAAATTAAAAAACAACAACAACAACAAAAAAAGATTAAACACCAGGCCTTCTGAAAAGCAATAAGGAGCCTCTTTCCAGAGGCTGCTCTCAGGTGACACTCATGGAACTGCTGCATCTTTAAATTAAAGTCCTACATTAAATACGAATTATGTCAAAGTCACATTTCTGAGTACCATCCTTTGAGAATGACTCCCACCAGGGAGGCAGAAATAAAGAGAGGGAGGACATTCTAAAGTCCCTTTTTCCTCCCCAAGTTTGTGGTCTTAAAGCAGCTTTCACATGTTGTTAGTTATCTTCTGAACTGTGAGACAGGTACTCTTTTCTCAACTATTGATGTGGAAACTGAGGCTTACAGATATTAAGTGACTTGGCCATATTTTGCTCATTTTTTAAAAATTGAGTTGTCTTAACATTGATTTTGTAGAGGGCCTTTATATTTTCTGGATTTGAGTCCTTTATCAGGTATATATTCCTATTTTTTTGGGGGGGGTACTAAGGATTGAACCCAGGGGGTATCCCTCAAGGGTTTTTAAATATGGGCTTTGGGTTTGGTTTGGTTTTGCCATGTTTTAGGCAGGTCAGTTGTCAGAAGCCAAGGCCAGGTTTTCGTCTCAGCGCTCCCTTGCAGGCCATCCCCCTCTCTGAGCCTCCATGAGTTCATCTTTTAAATAGCATGTCAATGTGCCCCACTGCGATCTAGGAGAAGGAATAAGAAGCGTTTTAAAAACCGTCAGGTGCTGGGCTGGGGCTGGGCTCAGAGGAGGAGCACTCACCTAGCATGCATGAGGCACTCGGTTCGATCCTCAGCACCCCATAAAAATAAAAGGTATCAAGGGAAAAAAAACCTGTCAAGTGCTGCAAACTGTGGGACATTATTTTTATTTTTATTTTTTTTTATTTTTTTTAATATTTATTTTTTAATTTTCGGCGGACACAACATCTTTGTTTGTATGTGGTGCTGAGGATCGAACCTGGGCCGCAAGCATGCCAGGCGAGCGCGCTACCTCTTGAGCCACATCCCCAGCCCCCGGGACATTATTTTTAAATGATTATGAACATAACTTAAAACTGAATCTTCTTGTCAGCTCAGACCCAACTCTGCACTTCGAGGGTCACCAGCCTCAGAGGTGGCTTCTTCTGTGACTGGGGGTGTTGGAACGCAGAGGATGGGACTGGCTCCTGGCACACACATCTCCCTCCCTCCCTCCCTCCCTCCCTCCCTCCCTTCCTTCCTCCCTCCCTTCCTTCCTTCCTTCCTTCCTTCCTTTCGGTCTCCTTTTTCAATGCTGGGGATTGAACCTAGGGCCAGGTGCTAGCTAGGCGGGCGCTATTACCACTGATCTACATCCCCAGCCCTTTTAAGATTTTTTTTCTTTTAGAGACAGGGTCTCCCTAAGTTGCCCAGGCTGGCTTTGAACTTGGGATCCT